CTCACCCTACACCCCTCACCCTACACCCCTCACCCTACACTCCTCACTCTACACCCCTCACCCTACACCCCTCACCCTACACCCCTCACCCTACACTCCTCACCCTACACTCCTCACCCTACACCCCTCATCCTACACCCCTCACCCTACACTCCTCACCCTACACTCCTCACCCTACACCCCTCACCCTACACCCCTCACCCTACACCCCTCACCCTACACCCCTCATCCTACACCCCTCATCCTACACCCCTCACCCTACACCCCTCACCCTACACTCCTCACCCTACACCCCTCACCCTCCACCCCTCACCCTCCACCCCTCACCCTACACCCCTCACCCTACACCCTCCACCCCTCACCCTCCACCCCTCACCCTACACCCCTCACCCTACACCCCTCACCCTACACTCCTCACCTTACACCCCTCACCCTACATCCCTCACCCTACACCCCTCACCCTACACCCCCTCACCCTACACCCCTCACCCTCCACCCCTCACCCTCACCCTCACCCACCCCTCACCCTACACCCCTCACCCTACACTCCTCACCCTACACCCCTCACCCTACACCCCTCACCCTACACCCCTCACCCTCCACCCCTCACCCTCCACCCCTCACCCTACACCCCTCACCCTACACCCCCTCCACCCCTCACCCTCCACCCCTCACCCTACACCCCTCACCCTCACCCTACACCCCTCACCCTACACTCCTCACCTTACAACCCCTCACCCTACATCCCTCACCCTACACCCCTCACCCTACACCCCTCACCCTACACCCCTCACCCTCCACCCCTCACACTACACCCCTCACCCTACACCCCTCACCCTACACCCCTCCCCTACACCCCTCACCCTACACCCCTCACCCTACACCCCTCACCCTACACCCCCTCACCCTCCACCCCTCACCCTCCACCCCTCACCCTACACCCCTCACCCTACACCCTCCACCCTCCACCCCTCACCCTCCACCCCTCACCCTACACCCCTCACCCTACACCCTACACCCCTCATCCTACACCCCTCATCCTACACCCCTCACCCTACACCTCTCACCCTACACCGCTCATCCTACACCCCTCACCCTACACTCCTCACCCTACACCCCTCACCCTACACCGCTTACCCTACACCCCTCACCCTACACCCCTCACCCTCCACCCCTCACCCTCCACCCCTCACCCTACACCCCTCACCCTACACCCTCCACCCCTCACCCTCCACCCCTCACCCTACACCCCTCACCCTACACCCCTCACCCTACACTCCTCACCTTACACCCCTCACCCTACACCCCTCACCCTACACCCCTCACCCTACACCCCTCACCCTACACCCCTCACCCTCCACCCCTCACCCTCCACCCCTCACCCTACACCCCTCACCCTACACCCCTCACCCTACACCCCTCACCCTACACCCCTCACCCTACACCCCTCACCCTCCACCCCTCACCCTCCACCCCTCACCCTACACCCCTCACCCTACACTCCTCACCCTACACCCCTCACCCTACACCCCTCACCCTACACCCTCATCCTACACCTCTCACCCTACATCCCTCACCCTACACCCATCACCGTACACCCCTCACCCTACACCCCCCTCACCCTACACCCCTCACCCTACACCCCTCATCCTACACCTCTCACCCTACATCCCTCACCCTACACCCCTCATCCTACACCCCTCACCCTACACCCCCCTCACCCTACACCCCTCATCCTACACCCCTCATCCTACACCTCTCACCCTACATCCCTCACCCTACACCCCTCACCCTACACCCCTCATCCTACACCCCTCACCCTACACTCCTCACCCTACACCCCTCACCCTACACCCCTCACCCTACAACCCCTCACCCTACACCCCTCACCCTCCACCCCTCACCCTCCACCCCTCACCCTACACCCCTCACCCTACACCCTCCACCCCTCACCCTCCACCCCTCACCCTACACCCCTCACCCTACACCCCTCACCCTACACTCCTCACCTTACAACCCCTCACCCTACACCCCTCACCCTACACCCCTCACCCTACACCCCTCACCCTACACCCCTCACCCTCCACCCCTCACCCTCCACCCCTCACCCTACACCCCTCACCCTACACTCCTCACCCTACACCCCTCACCCTACACCCCTCACCCTACACCCCTCACCCTCCACCCCTCACCCTCCTTCCCTCACCCTACACCCTCACTCACCCTACACCCTCACTCACCCTACACCCCTCACTCACCCTACACCCCTCACTCACCCTACACCCCTCATCCTACACCTCTCACCCTACATCCCTCACCCTACACCCATCACCGTACACCCCTCACCCTACACCCCCCTCACCCAACACCCCCACACCCTACACCCCTCATCCTACACCTCTCACCCTACATCCCTCACCCTACACCCCTCATCCTACACCCCTCACCCTACACCCCCCTCACCCTACACCCCTCATCCTACACCCCTCATCCTACACCTCTCACCCTACATCCCTCACCCTACACCCCTCATCCTACACCTCTCACCCTACACCCATCACCGTACACCCCTCACCCTACACCCCCCTCACCCTACACCCCTCCCCCTCCACCCCTCACCCTACACCCCTCACCCTACACCCCTCACCCTACACCCCTCATCCTACACCTCTCACCCTACACCCATCACCGTACACCCCTCACCCTACATCCCTCACCCTACACCCCTCACCCTACACCCCTCACCCTACACCCATCACCGTACACCCCTCACCCTACACCCCCCTCACCCTACAACCCCCTCACCCTACACCCCTCACCCTACACCCCTCATCCTACACCCCTCATCCTACATCCCTCACCCTACATCCCTCACCCTACACCCCCCTCACCCTACACCCCTCACCCTACACCCCTCACCCTACACCCCTCACCCTACACCCCTCATCCTACACCCCTCATCCTACACCCCTCGCCCTACACCCCTCACCCTCACCCTCCACCCCTCACCCTCACCCTACACCCCTCACCCTACACCCCTCACCCTCCACCCCTCACCCTCACCCTACACCCCTCACCCTACACCCCTCACCCTACACCCCTCACCCTCCACCCCTCATCCTACACCCCTCATCCAACACCCCTCATCCTACACCCCTCACCCTACACCCCTCACCCTACACCGTAGTGACAGGCGTCCAAGCGAACTAAACCAGTTACCTCCGCCCTGTTGGTCCCAGTTCGAACCCCCGGGGCCGCCTCCACCTCCCTGGGAGGGGGGTTAATGCGGGATTTAATAGGAGATTTAATAGGTGAAATAATGTGGGAAATAATACACTTTTTAGTAATAGTCAAATCGGCAATTTGGGATTTAATAAGAGATTTAATTTGCGATTAATTGAGGGTTAAATAAGGAACCGAATGGTAAATTTGCTACAGATTATGAATGTCATATACGGGGATTTATATAAGGATTTAATAGAAAAAACGTTGGGTATTTAGTATGGGATTTAATAGGAAATCAAATTGGGCATTTAATAGGGAGTTTATACTGTTTAATTTCTAAGATTTGTGCGAGTGTAACAAAGGATTAATATTTTTTATTTTAGTGAGTTTTTACTAGTTAAATCATGTGAATTTTACTAGGTAATATGTGATTTTTGCTAGTTATATTATGTCATTTTTACTAGTTAAATTATGTAAGTTTTACTAGGTAAATTATGTAATTTTTACTAGTTAAATATGTGATTTTTACAAGTTATATGTGATTTTACTAGTTAAATTATGTTATTTTTACTAGTTATAATATGTATTTTTTTACTAGTTAAATATGTGATTTTTACTAGCAAATATGTGATTTGTCTATTGATAACGTGGAAGTTATTATGGTTTATATATTTTGAGGAACTGTGGGTTGTTATCTTAAATTATATTTATTGAGTTATAGCTAGTTGTCACTATTTTGTTTGTGTATACCTTAGTCCGTGTATATGCGTGGGTGTGTATATGTATTTATGTATATGTGTGCGTGTGTGTGTGGTTATGTATTTATGTGCATGTGTACGTTTGTATGTGTGGCTTTCAAATGTGATTATGTTATTTACTAATACATATATTTATATATACTTTGCATGTATCTTTTAATGTATTTATGTATGGAACAATTTATTAATGTATGCATTATATTTATTGATGATCATTCTGCAGCCTCACTACACCTGTTGTGTGTCTCACCTGTTGTGTCTCACCTGTTGTGTCTCACCTGTTGTGTCTCACCTGTTGTGTCTCACCTGTTGTGTCTCACCTGTTGTGTCTCACCTGTTGTATCTCACCTGTTGTGTCTCACCTGTTGTGTCTCACCTGTTGTGTCTCACCTGTTGTATCTCACCTGTTGTGTCTCACCTGTTGTGTCTCACCTGTTGTGTCTCACCTGTTGTGTCTCACCTGTTGTGTGTCTCACCTGTTGTGTCTCACCTGTTGTGTCTCACCTGTTGTGTCTCACCTGTTGTGTCTCACCTGTTGTGTCTCACCTGTTGTGTCTCACCTGTTGTGTCTCACCTGTTGTGTCTCACCTGTTGTGTGTCTCACCTGTTGTGTCTCACCTGTTGTGTGTCTCACCTGTTGTGTCTCACCTGTTGTGTGTCTCACCTGTTGTGTCTCACCTGTTGTGTCTCACCTGTTGTGTCTCACCTGTTGTGTCTCACCTGTTGTGTGTCTCACCTGTTGTATCTCACCTGTTGTGTCTCACCTGTTGTGTCTCACCTGTTGTGTGTCTCACCTGTTGTATCTCACCTGTTGTGTCTCACCTGTTGTGTCTCACCTGTTGTGTCTCACCTGTTGTGTCTCACCTGTTGTGTCTCACCTGTTGTGTCTCACCTGTTGTGTCTCACCTGTTGTGTCTCACCTGTTGTGTCTCACCTGTTGTGTGTGTGTTTGTATACAGTAGCTTACCTGTGTATTTCTACTCATACACATGAGTAATACAACGTTCCTCTCGCCAGATCCCAGTTACAAGTCAGCGTGGGGGTCGCCGGCGTCTCCTGCTTCACAGTCACAAGGTAAGTCTCCACTCACAGTCACCCTGTGTGACTGTGTGTTTACCTGTCACCCTGTGTGTGACTGTGTCCATCTGTCACCCTGTGTGACTGTGTCCATCTGTCACCCTGTGTGTGACTGTGTGTCCACCTGTCACCCTGTGTGTGACTGTGTGTCCACCTGTCACCCTGTGTGACTGTGTCCATCTGTCACCCTGTGTGACTGTGTCCATCTGTCACCCTGTGTGTGACTGTGTGTCCACCTGTCACCCTGTGTGTGACTGTGTCCATCTGTCACCCTGTGTGACTGTGTCCATCTGTCACCCTGTGTGTGACTGTGTCCATCTGTCACCCTGTGTGTCACTGTGTGTCCATCTGTCACCCTGTGTGACTGTGTCCACCTGTCACCCTGTGTGTGACTGTGTGTCCATCTGTCACCCTGTGTGTGACTGTGTGTCCACCTGTCACCCTGTGTGTGACTGTGTCCATCTGTCACCCTGTGTGTCACTGTGTGTCCATCTGTCACCCTGTGTGTGACTGTGTCCATCTGTCACCCTGTGTGTCACTGTGTGTCCACCTGTCACCCTGTGTGTGACTGTGTCCATCTGTCACCCTGTGTGTCACTGTGTGTCCATCTGTCACCTTGTGTGACTGTGTCCATCTGTCACCCTGTGTGTGACTGTGTGTCCACCTGTCACCCTGTGTGTGACTGTGTCCATCTGTCACCCTGTGTGTCACTGTGTGTCCATCTGTCACCCTGTGTGACTGTGTCCATCTGTCACCCTGTGTGTGACTGTGTGTCCACCTGTCACCCTGTGTGACTGTGTCCATCTGTCACCCTGTGTGTGACTGTGTGTCCACCTGTCACCCTGTGTGTGACTGTGTCCATCTGTCACCCTGTGTGACTGTGTCCATCTGTCACCCTGTGTGTGACTGTGTCCATCTGTCACCCTGTGTGACTGTGTCCATCTGTCACCCTGTGTGTGACTGTGTGTCCACCTGTCCGTTAGTTTCATTTTCACCAATCATAACGAATATTCCTCGTCCTCCAACCAATCACAGAGAGAGATACACTTACTACAGCCAATCACAGCCCAGATTTTGATTCACTGGTGTTTCCAGCCAATCGCTGCGAAGGTTCAGTATCAGCCACAGTACCAGCTACAGTACCGACCACAGTACCAGCTACAGTACCAGCTACAGTACCAGCTACAGTACCAGCTACAGTACCAGCTACAGTACCAGCCACAGTACCAGCCACAGTACCAACCACAGTACCAGCCACAGTACCAACCACAGTACCAGCCACAGTACCGACCACAGTACTAGCTACAGTACCAGCCACAGTACCACCCACAGTACCAGCTACAGTACCAGCTACAGTACCAGCCACAGTACCAGCCACAGTACCAGCCACAGTACCAGCCACAGTACCAGCTACAGTACCAACCACAGTACCAGCCACAGTAACAGCCACACTACCAGCCACAGTACCAGCCACAGTACCAGCCACACTACCAGCCACAGTACCAACCACAGTACCAACCACAGTACCGACCACAGTACCAGCCACAGTACCACCCACAGTACCAGCCACAGTACCAACCACAGTACCAGCCACAGTACCGACCACAGTACTAGCTACAGTACCAGCCACAGTACCAGCCACAGTACCAGCTACAGTACCAACCACAGTACCAGCCACAGTACCAGCCACACTACCAGCCACAGTACCAGCCACAGTACCAGCCACACTACCAGTCACAGTACCAACCACAGTACCAACCACAGTACCGACCACAGTACCAGCCACAGTACCACCCACAGTACCAGCCACAGTACCAGCTACAGTACCAGCTACAGTACCAGCCACAGTACCAGCCACAGTACCAGCCACAGTACCAGCCACAGTACCAGCCACAGTACCAGCCACAGTACCAGCTACAGTACCAGCCACAGTACCGACCACAGTATCAGCCACAGTACCAGCCACAGTACCAGCCACAGTACCAGCCACAGTACCAGCCACAGTACCAACCACAGTACCAGCCACAGTACCAGCCACAGTACCAGCCACAGTACCAGCCACAGTACCAACCACAGTACCACCAACAGTACCAGCCACAGTACCAGCCACAGTACCAGCCACAGTACCAACCACAGTACCAGACACAGTACCAGCCACAGTACCAGCCACAGTACCAGCCACAGTACCAGCCACACTACCAGCCACACTACCAGCCACAGTACCAGCCACAGTACCAGCCACAGTATCAACCACAGTACCAGCCACAGTACCAACCACAGTACCAGACACAGTACCAGCCACAGTACCAGCCACAGTACCAGCCACAGTACCAACCACAGTACCAGACACAGTACCAGCCACAGTACCAGCCACAGTACCAGCCACAGTACCAGCCACAGTACCAGCCACAGTACCAGCCACACTACCAGCCACAGTACCAACCACAGTACCAGACACAGTACCAGCCACAGTACCAGCCACAGTACCAGCCACAGTACCAGCCACAGTGCCAGCCACAGTACCACCCACAGTACCAGCCACAGTACCAGCCACAGTACCAGCCACAGTACCACCCACAGTACCAGCCACAGTACCACCCACAGTACCAGCCACAGTACCACCCACAGTACCAGCCACAGTACCACCAACAGTACCAGCCACAGTACCAGCCACAGTACCACCAACAGTACCAGCCACAGTACCACCAACAGTACCAGCCACAGTACCACCAACAGTACCAGCCACAGTACCAGCCACAGTACCACGCACAGTACCACCAACAGTACCAGCCACAGTACCAGCCACAGTACCAGCCACAGTACCACCAACAGTACCAGCCACAGTACCACCAACAGTACCAGCCACAGTACCAGCCACAGTACCAGCCACAGTACCAGCCACAGTACCAGCCACAGTACCACCCACAGTACCAGCCACAGTACCACCAACAGTACCAGCCACAGTACCAGCCACAGTACCACCAACAGTACCAGCCACAGTACCACCAACAGTACCAGCCACAGTACCACCAACAGTACCAGCCACAGTACCAGCCACAGTACCAGCCACAGTACCAGCCACAGTACCAGCCACAGTACCACCAACAGTACCAGCCACAGTACCAGCCACAGTACCAGCCACAGTACCAACAACAGTACCAGCCACAGTACCAGCCACAGTACCAGCCACAGTACCAGCCACAGTACCAGCCACAGTACCACCCACAGTACCAGCCACAGTACCAGCCACAGTACCACCCACAGTACCACCCACAGTACCACCCACAGTACCAGCCATAGTACCACCCACAGTACCAGCCACAGTACCAGCCACAGTACCACCAACAGTACCAGCCACAGGAGGAAGTAGTGAGATAAGGGACCCTTGACATTGCTTCTGGCCTCACACAACACTTGATGTGTTGTTGAGTTGTGTTGGAGGCTGTGTTGCTGATGTCTCCCTCTCTCTCCCTTCTCTCACTCTCCCTCCCTCCCTCCCTCCCTCCCCCCCTCTCTCACTCCCCTCTCCCCCAGCTGTTACACGGAAATAGATCACTGATGAGAAGTTGGTTTTTGAACCAAGCTCAGCCAATGTGGCTTAAAATCTCATCAAAAGCTTTTGCAGTCGCCTTATGACGTCTCACGGTAGAGCTGGGGAGGTGATGGGGTGATGGGGTGATGGGGAGCTGGGGGGGGTGAAGGTTGGGGTAGCGGTGCTGGGTAGGTGGTGGACGGGTAGGAGGAGGGAGGAGGGGTTGGGGTTGTGGTGGGGGGGAGTTTGGGGTGTAACTTGGGGTGGGGGTTGGGGGGGAGGGGTTGATGGTAATTTATTTGTCATTGTTGGTTGTGGCATAAGCTGGAGGTGGCTCCCAGTACTTCTTCCTTCTGTTTATTGTCTGGCTGCTTGATCCTCTCTCTCTCTCTCTCTCTCTCTCTCTCTCTCTCTCTCTCTCTCTCTCTCTCTCTCTCTCTCTCTCTCTCTCTCTCTCTCTCTCTCTCTCTCTCTCTCTCTCTCTCTCTCTCTCTCTCAGGCACACTCTCCCTGCCTGTAATTCCTCTCACATCTCCTGCCTCTCTCCCCTCTACTAATGACCAATTGGTGCCGCTTAATTGCAGGTAATCGAAGCCCAATTACCATCACTATTCTCACACCTCAGTTGACACGTTGGTTGATGGGTGGAGGGTGTATGGGTGTTGTTGGGTCCCTCATGCTTCTCTCTCTCTCTCTCTCTCCCTCACTCTCCCTGGCTCCCTCCCTCCCTTCCTTCCTCTTCGTTCTCTTTCTTTCCTCCTCCCTCTCTTTACTCTCCTAACTACTTCTCCTCTCCCTCTCCTCGTGTCTGTATTCTCTCCGTTTCTTATCTCTGTCTCCTGTTTTCGATTATTTCATTCTCCCTTTCCTGTATTTATTTTATCTTGTAGTTGAGAGAGACTGAAACATATATATATATATATATATATATATATATATATATATATATATATATATATATATATATATATATAGACCCCAGGGTGACAGTGCCCAGGGTGACAGGGTCCAGGGTGACAGGGCCCAGGGTGACAGGGCCCAGGGTGACAACAACATTGCTCTCATAAGAGGAAACACAAGTACAAGCACAAGTAACATAAACCAGTAGAATACATTCACCAAAAACTACTGCGAATTAACACAAAACAAAAACAAATAAAATAAATGCCTCCAAAAACCCCGTGTGTAAACTGACACGAAAATGAGACGAAAAAATTTCCCCCAAAACACGGGATTAAACGAGGGGAAAAAAGTCGGAGGTGAAGAGAGAAGATTATAAAGAGCGGCGAGGGGTGGAGGCGTCAGTGTTGACCAGGGGTCAGGCGAGGTCAACACTCTCACTCCTCACTTATTGCCTGTTGACCAGTGAGGCGCGGCCGACCTCGCGCCGCGGGGCGGGACTCAACACTCGCGCCAGTCACTTCCCGCGCTAAACAATTCCTAAAGTTGACATCCAAAAAACGGA